CTATCTATCTATCTATCTATCTATCTATCTATCTATCTATCTATCTACCTACCTACCTACCTACCTACCTACCTACCTACCTACCTACCTATCATCTATTAGATATTAATCTCTCTCAGACACACACTATCATCTATTAATCTATCATCTATCTACCACCTATCTACCATCTATCTACAATCTCTCTCTCTCTCTCTCTCTCTCTCTCTCTCTCTCTCTCTCTCTCTCTCACCCACATTCACCCACACAAACACACTCACACACATACTTTTCGGTCTCACTGGTTCCATTCTAGTCCATTTCTATTAACATTGTTCAACTGAATGTTGTATTATTTTAATATGCCTATCAAGTAATCATTCATAAGTAATGAGGAGGAAAGAAGAGAAATCTAAGATTGCCCCGACTTACTTACCTGGCAGCTGACATCAAATCTCATTTCATAATCCCACACTTTGATAGTTCTATCACCGGCTGTGAGAACATACCGGCCATCGGGACTCAGCGTTAGAGAAGAACAGGACTGTCTGTGAACTTGAGGGACCTGCAATCGATAGAGATCACTGCTAACATTGGATCCCCTTCTGGAGCCGAAGGCCTTCCATTTAGGCAGCAAAACCCATAGCACATTCCTGTACCCTGTGCAGTTTACAGCTTCAGCTCATCTCTTCTGGTGTCAGTCAGTACATCAATTTAAAATCTTCAAAACCACCCAGGCAAGCATCAACCCAGGCAGTCCTCAACTTAACGGTCACAACTGAGCCCAAAATTTCTGTTGCTAAGCGAGACAATTAAGTGAGTTTTGCGCCATGGTACGACCTTCCTTTCCACAGTTGTTAATTGAAACACTGTAGTTGTTAAGCTAGTCACATGGTTGTTAAGTGAATCTGGCTTCCCCATTGATTTTTGCCTGCGAGAAGGTCGCAAAAGGGGATCATGTGATCCCAGGACACTGCAACCATCATAAATGCAAGTTTGTTGCTAAGTGTCTGGATTTTGGTCATGTGAACCATGGGGATGCTGCAACAATCATAAGTGTGGGAAACGGTCATAAGTCACTTTTTTCCCCAGTGCTGTTGTAATGTCAAAACGGACACTAATCGAACTATTGATGACTACTTTTATTTAGTAATAATTCAGCAATTTTAGATCCACAGAACTTGTGGGATTTTCCTCACAAGAAATGGGTAAACAGAAAAATATGGCAATCAGAAGGATGTTCCCACCTCTGAAAGGGAAACAAAAATGGTAGATCTCCTACCACTCGGATTAAGCGTCCAGACTTGGCATCCAGCACTAGGATTTTCTGGGAGGAGGTTGACACCAAAAGAGGGCCGAGAGGAAAAGGGGCGAAGCAAAGTCTCAATGCAACATCCAGGGCCGTGCTGTCCAGATCCAGAATGCTCACGTCGATTCTTAGTAGCTGACATGCATAAATAAGGATTTAACATTAACATTAATGTTAAAGAGCCGTAAGGAGTTAACAATAATATAATATAATATGCATAGTTGATCTATATAATATAAATTTTAATCTAAATTTAGAAGGGAAAGACTGTTGATATTGTGCACAAAAGATATGCACCAACAGACACACTGTACAATGGAAAGATGGTTTTATATGATGTTTCATGTTTGTATTTGTCAATGTTTGTTGTTAAAATAAATAAAAAACATTTAAAAAAACATTAATGTTAAGTAGCTGAAGCTACTTCTGCTGCCTGCAATTTAGCGGTTGTATAATACGTGAATGGATGGAGATAGATAAGATACCTAGAAAATCATGCTATAGAAATAATTTTCCAGAATAAATGAAACAAACAATCATAGTCTCATGTAGATAACAAATAATTAATATACTTAATTATTTAGTTATTACTTAGAAAGTTCAAAACATTCGCAAAGCTCCATCTCATCCTGGGCACCCTTTTTTGAACTATTACCATCTGGCAGACTGTACAGGATAATAAAAATAAGGACAAATAGGCTGAAAAACAGCTTCTATCCCAGGGCAGCAACTATATTGAATTCCACTGGATAGTGTTATATTAATGCAATATCAATTGTATAAAATGCGTTTATTTTCAGATTGGAATGTTGGCTTTTTTTGGTTTAAATATGGATGGAATAATTAATGGAACCTGTGTATTAAATATATGGAAATAAATGAAATGATATAGGAGGAGAGCTGAAATGGAATTAACTTTAGGGCTTAGGATTGTTCTACTGTTTGAATTGAGTAGATTAATATGTCCTTTTTGGGGGTGGGGGGAATTTAATGAAATTTAAAAGCAGAAAAATCATGCAGAATCTGACTTATATATGCTATGTAGTTTTAAAGGGATTATTAAGTTTAATGTTTTAGGTAATAATGTTAAATGTTTTAACGAGATTTAAAAGGGGTGAAAATAAATGAATTTATAATTTAGAGGTGGTGCACTTATATTGAGATTTCGGGGGGGGGGGGGGGAAACCAATTTATAGAAGAAGTGTCTTTTTTTTAATTAGGATTTAAGATGAAATATACAAATATGACAGTTAAAAGTACTAAAGTATAATGGTTATAAAGTTATCATAAGTGAATTAAATAATGAGATAAATATTTGGAATAATACAATAAAACAGAAAATGTATAAAAGCACTGTTAAGATAAGGAATTGGATATAAAAATTGAATACGTAATCATGGTCATATTTGTATGTATATGTGAAACCTGTAATCATGCTGTTCACTAAAAAGAGACGTTAAAATATGGAAAACTGAATAAAACTTGTTTAAAAAAAATGTTAAAGAGCTGCAGTGGTTAGAATGCAGTACTGCAGGCTATTTCTGCTGCCTGCTGGCTGCCTGCAATTTGGTGGTTGCATAATAGGTGGATGGATGGAGATAAATACTGTAGATACGTAGAAAATCATGCTGCAGAAATATTTTTCCAGAATAAATGAAACAAACAACCACGGTCTCCTGTAGATAGAAAATAATTAATATACTTATCTGGTACAGTTATTTGCTATATCTACAAGAGGCCATGTTTCTTGGTTTCTCCTCAGCAGCAGGAAACTCACTGCACATATTCTCTTATTGCTTAACAAAAAAAAAAAAAGGCCATGTGTTTATCGATTATTTTACTTACTTTATTGTTTATTAAACAAGTTTATATAGCTGCCTAACTCATACCCAATGACTCCAGAGTTTCACATGGTTTCACTAAAATTATATGAGTGAGAAATTCCACCGGCTTTTGAGATACAAGGAATAGTTACCTCATCCAGAGTATGGGCGTCCATGAGGGTGACGATGTATTTGGAAGGCCCCACAAAGGCCAAGAGACGTCCGTCGCAACTGACGGACAAAGCGTCAGGACCATGGTCAGCGTCTTGGGACACCACATTAGCTGAATGAGAGTGGGAGAATCAATTTCTGTGGTAAGTCATTTAGAGCAAGGGTCTTCAAACTTGGCAAGTTTTAAGACTTGTGGACTTCAACTCCCAGAATTCCTGAGCTAACATGACTGGAGGAGGAATTCTGGGAATTGAAGTCCACACGTCTTAAAGTTGCCAAGTCTGAAGACCCCTGATTTAGAATAAGAGTTGGAAGGGACCTTGGAGGTCTTCTAGTCCAGCCCCTTGCTCAGCAGGAACCCTACACCACTTCAGACAAATGATTATCCAATCTCTTCTTAAAAACTTCCAGTGTTGGAGCATTCACAACTTATGTTCCACTGATTCATTGTTCTGACTGTCAAGAAATTTCTCCTTAGTTCTAGGTTGTTTCTCTCCTTGATTAGTTTCCACCCATTGCTTCTTGTCCTGCCCTCATGAGGGTTGTTAAGTCCAGCGCCCATTATTTTGCATAGCGGCCATTAAACAAACATCACAGTCATTAAGCAAATCAATGTATTCCCATGGGTGCTTTTTGCCGGAAACTGTCCCAAACCATAAATCACAGTCACAAGACCGCATGGAACACTGGAATCAGCCATCACCTATGAGCTGGAGCCCAAATGCCCAAAATGTAGTCACGTGACTGTGGGGATGAGTGCAAATGTTGGAACTCCAGAACTCAAGTGGCTTTGTAAGGGCTACCATTGCAACTTTGAATGGCCGTTGCGGGGGACTTGTTGTAAGTTGAGGAACACCTATAGCAGGGGTAGCCAACCTTTTGGACCTCAAGGACCACCAAACTCATAATTTTAAATCCTGTGGAGCACTAATATGAATTTTGACTGGCGGTGGCTTGCTGACGTTGGCGGGAAAGTCGGTCCCATATTCCAGAGCTGCAGTAGTAGACTGGCCCTTTGGTCACTCCGGAGCTTTCTTTCTCTCCCCCAAAATCCGCCAGAAATGGGTCTTTGCCGGCGCAGCCTCTTGGAGGAGGAGGAGGCCTTGCAGGGTCCCAAAGACTCATTTCTGGCAGAGTTTGGGGGAGAGAAAGAAAGACTTTTGCTGCTTTCCTTGCGTGCACCCAAAAGCAGACGAAGAAAGAAGTGGAAAGAAGCAGCCCAGTGGCCAGGCCAGGCACGTGGGGTGAGTGGGGCAAGCTCCCCCCTCCGCCCTTTCCCCCCTCCCCTCACTACTTCATGTTGTTCTTAATGCAAGCGGTGCAAGCCTTGTGTTCCCACGGGCCATGTGGGTGGTGCAGCCTTCTGTTCCTGCGCAGCCTGGATTATTTGCTTTGGGGGGAGTGCTTTGGGGAGGGTGACATTTCTCTGCAGACCACCAAAATTATCTTGCAGACCACCAGTGCTCCCCGGCCCACCAGTTGGCGACCACTGACCTATAGTAAAGACTCACCTTTAGGTAGAGCAGGACACTTACCTAACACTCGGACAGTGTGACTTTTCTGGACGGCACAGTTATAAAGACTCAGCGTCCCATGTGTGCAGGAACTGTACATGAAATGGTCGTCTGGAGAGAAGGTCAGACCTGTGATCAGTCCTCGGTGCTGCCTGTCCGATAGTCGGCCCGAAACAAAAAGGCAAAATGAGGTATGAACGTGAAGAATGAAACCAGCGGGTGACAAAAACCATTGCTGTCAACTCATAAAATATCTCTATGGTCTTTTTAGAGTTGCCAACAGAAAGGGGGGAGGGGGGGAGCAGTGCAGCCGCTTGCAAACCGAAACTGCATTCCATAAATGTTGTCAAAGATTGTTTCTAGGTGACTGAAGTTCCTGCCGCGCAAAATTCTAACTGGAGAGCATGATTGATGACTGTTGGCTATGGATGTGTCCCATTGGAGAATATGAATTATGATACACCCAGGGGGCGGGGGAAAACCAGGGTCAAGGGTGATAATGAATTATGTGTCTCGGAGTCGGCTAGTTGTCAGAATGCCAGACAGTTTAATTCCCAATAAATCCTTTTTGAAATTTTGGAAGTTTGGCTCGAGACCCATGATTTAAATGGGGGTAACTGCTGGAATCCTGACAGCTGCCTTTATACCCCTCCAGCGCAAGGCATTTGGGTTTGTCTCCCTTCATTTTAAGCCCATAACAATCCTGTAGTTTCAAGCTGTCCTCAACTTACAACAGTTTTGTGGCCAAAGTTACAACGGCACTGAAAAAAGTGACTTGTGAGCGTTTTTCACAGTTATGACCTTTGTAGCATCCCGTTGATCATGTGATCCAAATTCCAGACTCTTCATATTCTTCCCCTTTGCTGTGTGTCCCAAAGTCACATGATCCCCTTTTGCAGGACTTTCTGACAAGCAAAGCCAATGGGGAGGCCAGATTCACTGAACAACCTGGTTACTCACTTAGCAACTGTAGCGATTCACATAACGGTGGCAAGAAAAATCATAAAATGGGACAAAACTCACTTAACAAATGTCTCAGTCAACAACAGAAATTTGGGGCTCCATTGTGGTCATAAGTAGAGGACTATCTCTATTTATCAGAGAGCAACTTGTTCAAACTCACCCAGGAAGTTATTTAATCAAGCAGGATTTGAATCAGCATCTCCTCCCCATGCCCCCCCCATTCCAAGTCCACTATAGTATATTTTTAGAGTTTACTTTTGCACTATAGTATATTTTTTAAGAATTGTGTGGTGCTCACTGAGTTATTTGTTGTAAAAAGGAAAGCATCTGCCAATGGAAAGGCAATAAAAAAATGTGTCTCTTTCTCCAGGCATCTGGGTCAGGATGAGTAACATTCTCCCCATTGTTGACACATAGTACAGTTTAATGTTAATCACTGTATAATTATTTTAGTTTTCTCTAGTAGTATGGGCTATTTTTCTTTTCTATTTTTGTATAATGATTTGGGATGCTGCCCAGAATCTTTGAGCTGGGTGTCATGTTGAATGTTGTATATATAAATAGATAATTCAGAAACAGAAATGTTGTGATACAGGTAGTCCTTGTTTAGTGACTGTTTCAAGTTACGACAGTGATAAAGAAACAACTTTGCAACCACTGCTCATGTTTACAGCCTTCCCAGGTCTGTAAACAAGCGAAAGCTGAAATGAGATTATAAGCATGATTAGAGTTTCACCTAGCAACCACTTCACTTAATGACCAAATTGTCAGTCCCAGGTGGGGTCACTAATGATCACCTGGACTTAACATTTGACATATCACCCCCAAATACTGCTAAGTGAAATAAGTACATTTGTTTTGTTGTTTTTCTTTACTGCGTTATAGGCTGATATCAGTATTTATTTCATTTTTCCCCCCTCTTCCGAATAAATATTCCCTTTCAAACAACTCTCCCCCTCCTCTTCCAAGCATGCAAAACGTTCAAAGCCTAACTATGAAACTACACAAAGGCTTTACTTGTGTTCTTCTAGTAGTCTTGAGGCAGCCAAGCTGATGGTCCTGACCACGCCAGTGTCAAAGCCGCAAGCAAAAATAGGCTGCGAGGGATGAAAAGCCACAGCGCACGGGATTTCATCGGAGGCCGTGAATTCATAAAGCTGTAAGGGGATATAGAGTGGTATCCAGGTGAGACAGGAGGCAGCAGAAGGAAATGATCCAGGTGTGAAGTCTTGCGTCTCAGACCAAGGCCTCACAAATAAGGAATCTCACAAGGTCTCACAAATAAGGAATTACTGCATCCAGTTTGGGTCACCATGATGTAAAAAAGATGTTGAGACTCTAGAAAGAGTGCAGAGAGGAGCAACAAACATGATTAGTGGACTGGAGGCTAAAACATATGAAGAATGGTTGCGGGAACTGGGCATGGCTAGTTTGAGGAAAAGAAGGATTAGGGATGACATGATAGCAGTCTTCCAATATCTCAGGGGCTGCCACAAAGAAGAGAAAGTCACATTTTGGGCATTTGATAGCTGATTCCAGTGTTTCATGTGGTCTTGTGGTCCCGATGTACAGTTGGGGACGGTTTCCGGCAAAAATTGCCCATAGGAATACACTGATTTGCTTAATGACTGTGATGTTCGTTTAATGGCCCCTATGCAAAATAGTGGGCGTTGGACTTAACAATCCTCATGAGGGCAGGCCAAGAAGCAATGGGTGGAAACTAATCAAGGAGAGAAGCAACCTAGAACTAAGGAGGAATTTCCTGACAGTCAGAACAATGAATCAGTGGAACAGCTTGCCTTCAGAAGTTGTGAATGCTCCAACACTGGAAGTTTTTAAGATCCTGGATAACCATTTGCCTGAAATGATAGAGTGTTTCCTGGCTAAGTAGGGGGTTGAACTAGAAGACCTTCCAGCTCTGCTATTCTATTCTATTCTATTCTATTCTATTCTATTCTATTCTATTCTATTCTATTCTATTCTATTCTA